TCGCGATTAAATCAATGAAATAATCAATAATGATATCAAGTTGGAAAAATTTCAATTAATCGTATTTTAAAAGTATTATTATCAAAGAAGGAAGAGATAGAAAGAGAGAGAAAAAGAAAGAGACAGAGAGAGAATGAGAAGTGGAGAAAAAAGTGCGGAGAACAGCATGGATTGGCTTACATGCCACCTGTAGCACGATGCCAGAATAGCAGGGGAATGCGGTCGACTCGATCGCTGCGATATCGCTTAAAGGTCGGAAGGGATTCATCAATAAAGTTTACTATTTTTCCGATATCGCTTTTCCAATTCTATAAATCGGCGTATAGAGAAGGTTTGCGTATACATAGGCGGTTCGGGGCGCACACGGACAGAAGAGAGGCCAGTTATGAATGGGCTACGTCGGTTGACGTTAATCTACCACTTCATCTCTCTCATCCAACTCCGTGCTGCTGGTGTAGCACGCACGGCAATCTCACCACTCTCTCGCCAACCCATTTCCAGCCTCCACCCCCGTCCCATGCTATCCGTGTCCGTGTGTGTGTATGCGTGCGTGCGTGTGTACCGCTTCTCGCGCTCACCCCTGACCAATTGTTTCGTTGGCCAAAGAGAAGAAAAAAAAGTGCTTCGGGTAGAGAGAACGTGAAGCGCGCGAATGCGAACCTTTGACGAAAAAATGCTTCAGCCATCGTGTTGTATACAACTGGCTGCCTACTAAATTAAATCGCTCGTTTTCGACGCATCCGTCCATTTACGCGCGAACAAAAAGAAGAATAACCAACGAAAGAGAAAGTTTTAAACGAACGATAAAACCACGTGTTTACACCGACACCTATCAACTTGATTAAGCTGTTATATGGCGAACTTTCTATGTAGTAGTTCTGTACTACTTCTGATCGCATAATATGATTACATTTAATGATCGTTATTCTAAGCAATTGTGGATAGAATGATAGATAGAGATATTAATTGACAATAAGTTTTTCCTTTTTTTTCTTTAATTAACACGTATAAATAAGGACAAAAGTTTTCGTGAATAAAATTATTATGTATTATTATGTAAAATTATTATTGTTTTAGAAACATGTTTCAAAATAATTTATTGGTTATTTGTAAAAAAAAAAGGAAATATGATATATCAAAGTATTACATTTCTAATTTCTAAGATTTTTATACGATTATTTTCATTATTTAGAATCTTATATTAATGTGAAACAGAATTTTTCTATATAATATCAACAAATAATTAATAATATCACTAATCAAATGATTCATTTTGACATATTTTATATCTAAATATCGTATTTGAGAAACAAATCAGTTGATTTAACAGAGTTAATCAATTGATTAGATAATGATGAGATTGTTAATTATCATTTAATAATGTTAGATTACGATTGTCTGCTATTTTTTCTCTATTTTTTTCTTCTATTGTATTCATTATATAAAATGCTATAACTATAGAAGTTTTATTATTCTGAGAAAAGAAAATTTTAAAAATAATTAAAAAATTGCTTTCAATGTATAATTATAAAGGTAAATATATAATTATAAAGGTATTATATAAGATAAGATTAAAAATAAAATTTTAACATATTGATGCATAAGAAATAATATAATATTAATAATAAAAAATAGGTAATATAAAAAAGTTTATTGGATACAATATTTAAATTATACAATTGTCAAATTCACAAATATAATTATAAAATGCGAATATATAAAATTTTACAAAATAAAAGATATTCAATTATAAAAAGTTTAATTTCTGATGTTTGAAAAAAAGAATTTTATACATATATATTTATATAATAATTAATCATACTAATATTAAATACATAAATAATATAGCTGCAACTGGAATGTTAAAATAATACATAGAAATCACATGTAAAATCGCTGTAACATGTAAAATTATTTAAAAAATTATTTTTTTATGAACTATAGAATTAATAAATGGAGTTTGGAATGTATATATAATTTTACTATTACATTAATTAGATATTTTTGGATTTGAATATACTATAATAATAATTTTTAATTTTTTTTTATAAAAAAAAATATTCTTATTTTGTTAAATTCCAAAATATATATATATTATTTTCACTAGATCTTATTTTAATCTATCAATAAGATTATTTTTCATAAATCATATACAATAATAAAAATAAACATTAAAAACATAAAAACTTTTAATATTAAATTACTTAATATGAAAAATTTACCAAAAATATAGTAACAAATAATATGTTTAGAAAACAATAAAAAATAATTATGTGATTATGTATAGAATTTATTTCCTATTCTGAGTTTAATGCTTTATCATATTTTTTAGCACAAGAATTTATTTCTGATTTTTTAAATATTATAAAATATAAATTTGACCAGAGAAGTTTTGAGCATCATATACCATAGAACTAATAATTTATTTCTAATTTTTCTTAAAAAATAATTTACTATTATTTCTATATATTAATACAATTTTACAAATGTATTTAATATAATACAGTGTAAGAAATATATTTATATGTTTAATATATTATATATTTTTACTTTTCTTAATCACTATAGCATCACGATTTTGATATTTATTTAAATATAGATTGCAAATCACAATAATTATTATTATTAATATAGTATTATTACTCATAAAATATTTAATCGAAATAAAAATAAAAATGTAAGATTTGGAATGTTAATAAATGTATAATAAATTTAAAATCTAAAATTTCAGAATATGATATTGATCAAATAAATGTCTTAAACAATTAAAAATAATTATTTACAAAATGATTGTGTTTAACGATTTCAATGACTTTCATATATGATATTATATCTACATATAATCTGTTTGTTTATATTATTATTATATTACATAAATTATATCTAATTTATATATAATTTCATAAGCGCATCGTATATTTTAAAAAAATAGCAAAATGAAAATCTTGCATCAAATAAAATAAAAATAAGTAGAAAAAGATTTTAAAAATCATGATAATCGATATTCATAATAAAATTAAAATAAATCACGGAAAAAACTTTGTGATGGAAAATATCCATCAGAAAAGTATAAAAAAATAATTATTATAATTATTGTCAAGAAAAAATTATTTCGTTTGTTAGATATGAATATAATAAAAAAATAAATTAAGAATAAAAATTTGGTAATATTAAAAATAGAAAATGATCAAAAAAGGTGTTATAAAATAAAAAAAAAAATTTTAAAAGAATTTTTAAAAAATACATTAAAAAATTAATAAAATCAAATAATAACATTGTTTGGAGTAATATTAGAAAATAGTAAAGAAAATTTTACAAAATATGAAATATAAAATCTTTTGTTCAAATTTTTTCTATATGATTGAATTGAATAATTTTCATTGTGAGATTCATTTTTACATACTTACAATGTACTCTTTATTTTGCAAAACTTTGTACTTTTAGGTTGTAATATTACAAGCAAAATATGAGTTTTATACTCATAATAAATATATTTTACTTATACTTAGTATTTCTTACAAACTAGGATTTTAAACTAATAATACGATTTACTAATTATTTTATTTAAATGTAAAAATGAAATTACTCAAGATATTGACCTAACATCATAACAAGGCCATTGAAATCTTTCTTATTTATTGTTCAAAGTTAACCTACTTATTATACTTAAAATAATCTGCATACGCTAGAATCTAACTCGAATTTATTTCAAATTTTAAAATTACGATTAGTAGTATTATGTAAAATATATATTATTAAAAATAATTATAATTTTTCTGTAATAAAAATAATTATAATTTTTATAATAAAAGCCTTGTAGTACTTATATCTATGGACGAAATAGTTTAAATGATCTTAATAATATAATTCAAGATCAGTGAAATCAATGAAGTTAGACACTTTATAAATATTTTTTTAACTGAATTAAATTTTCATTGAATTATATATTTATCATTAGAAAAAAAATTATTTGTTAATATCAAGAAAAAAAAATTATAAAAAAAATATAAAATTATTTAATATAATTTAATATAAAATTATAATTAAACTCATTACAAATTTTTGTTTTCAAATCTTATAGGAAATTAAAATTGTAAATTGAAATTTAATTTTAATATTTTATTCACTAACAATTTTTGTAAAATTGCAGAATTAATTTTATTAAAATAAGAATATTTTACTACTAAAATTTTGATAAAATCTGTAAAACTAGATTATTTATTCAAAGATATTAATATTTGTTTGTTTTCAATAATAAAAATATTATAATAATTTTTACTATAAAAAAATTACTCAAATTTTTAAATTTTACTGTTTTATATATTTTCTAAATTGAATTATTATTTTTAGAATTAGATTTCTTTAATCAATATTATAACATATATGATCATTAATATATAAATTAATAATCATGTCAAAAATATAATATAAAAAATGAGAAATTAACTATTTAGATTTTTTATAATATAAGAAGAATTTTTTCTTTCTTCTTTACATAATTTAATATTTTAAAAAAGTTTTGTTCTTGCTTAATATTTTTCATTATGTTAAATTGCAAGAAAATACTTTTTAAAAAAAAAGAAACATTTGAAAAAGTAGTTTTGTGTTTATTATTATTATTGCTTTTTTTAATTTTTTTTTATTTCTAAAAAATTGTACTTTTTTATTTTTTAATAAAAATGATAATAATTCAAAAATATAATTAATCAATACTTCTGAATATTAAAATTGAAACATTATAATTTAAATAATTAAGAAATATTTTAAAGTAAATTTTCAAATTATGACAATGTATATTAAACATACTTAAATATATATAATGATAAATTTATCAATACAAACTACAATATATAATTTTTTCCCAAATATTTATGAATAAAATAAAGAAGAATTAAATTTTAAATATAATTAAAATGTACCTATTTTTTTTTTTTGGAATGCGTAGAGTTCCATTAGTAAATTTTTTTTCATATAAATTTAGAAAATTTATATAAAAAAAACTTTTTTAAAAATATATATAATTTTTTCGAATGTTTCTTTTGCAAATTGAATTTTTTTCCATTATACATTATGAATTTTTGATTTTTATTCTTTCCATGTCGATGACTTAACATTTTTTAATTCACGATTTTCTGAAAGGTCAATTGTTGTTTCGTGTAAAAGTTTTTTGCCGTTTTGTTTTGTCTCATAATCAATATTAACTTGTCCATTTTCACAGTAGATTTGTGAAACTTTTCTATTTATATGAAACTTACAACACAGTACGTTAACAATTACTGTGCCACAAATAAAACCCATAATGATGCCTGCGAGTACATCCCACCAGTGGTGTCTATTGTCAACAAGTCTGGTTAATGAGCATACTACGGTCCACATGCACATCAACAATTGTAACCACGGTTTTAGCATAACTGAGCGATCTGGCAAACGGCGCTGTATATAACACTATAACAGAAAAATATTTTTTTCTAATAATATAAAAAGAAAGTTTCAAACATAGCGAAGAAGAAAACAATGAGTACTTTTATATTTATTTCCATGAATAAAAATAATAATTAAAAAATAATTTTATTTTGTGTTCAAGCAAAAAAGAATAAAATACTTTATAATAAAATAAATATATTATCCAAATAATATGATAAAATAATAAGAGATCATTTAGAAAATATCGAATGTCATGTTTCATGTAAATCATGCAAGATGACGTACATTTATATATATATATATATATATATATACTTAGTGGCTCGTATCATACATACGTGATAACTGCAAATAATTACAAAGTCTGCAAATGATAATAAAATATCCTATATATGTGATATGCAAGTATTAATTTGAAAAAACTACATAAAAAACTTTTGAAAATTTTAAAAAAAAGTTGTTTTAATGAGTTAACAATATTATTGATTAAAAAAAATTATTTTTTAAATTCTCATTATTTTTTATATAAAATTAAACATTGTTTAACACAAATATTTCAAACTTATGATTTCTATTCTATTAAAAAAATATCCAGAGTCCTTTTTCTACTACTATTTCATATTAATAAATATTAAAGATAAACGCATTCGAAATGCAAATTATTTTTATTTTAATAGCGATCAAAAAACTAAATAAAAATGATAAAAAAATCGTATTAAAACAATTATAAATGTACATAATATAAAATACTATGCTATTACTTATGTAAAATTATAAAAAAATAATATGTTTAATTTAAAAATCATAAATTTAATTTAAGTAACAGTAAAATATATCTCAAAATATAGTATGTAAATACATAGTCATAATGCAAATTAGTATACATATATATTTTTTAAATACTTACTATAATAAAAATAGTTGTATGCATGGAAAGACAAGAATGACCAGATGGAAATGATCTACTAGAATCTAAGATACTCCAATCTGAAACATTTGTATTTGTACATGTATATTTTTCCACGTATCTGAAACAAAACACAAAGATGATATTAGATAATAATTTATTTTGTAATAATTATTTGCTTTTATTTATAATATATACTTATATATAATATGTCATCTCATAATATTTTAAATCTAATTCTTGTTTTAAATATACATATATGTATATAATTTCGTTTATAACGTATTTTTATGAACAAAAAATGCCTACCCATCGGTACAATTCTCAGCCTCTCGTGGTTTACACGTATCCAAAAAGTGCGGTCTTGGTTCGCCAATTACAGTTTTTATAACTTCACATGTAAACAATAAACTAACAGATCCAATTAAAAATTGTCTATACCACAACCATATCTGTTTTGCTCTCGAACCAACATATCCTAATTCAGTAGCATAACTACTTGCAGGATAACATAAAAATTCAGCTATCCACATCTAAAAATAAATAAAATAAAACATTATTTACAAATTGTATATATTTAAAAACAGAAATATTATTAAAGAATTGCAATTATGTAATTCAATTTATAATTTATTATAAATAATTGATAGTAATTATAATTAGTTATTATAAGTAGTTATAATTTGTTATAAATAATTTGTTATAAGTAACTGATAGTTATAATATAAATGCTTAATATTTTTTTATAAAAATATATTAAAAGTGATTATTATTAATTATAATAATAATCATTATCAATTATATATTTATTATTTAAAAATAATTTTCATCTTAGAATATCTCTATTTTAATTTATTTTATAAATTTTAATAATGAGATTAATGAAATTCACAATCATATTTTAATTCAGAATCTTTAATTATGATTGTTTTCGCATACACGGAAATGCAATCGATAAAATTTGAATAATTAAATAATTCCTTCTCCTCTAAACTATTTTTATTTCCTATTAACTATATTTATTTTCATTTTAATCCATTGTTTCGATTCAGTACACGTAAATAATTATTTAAATCTAAATTATTAATTTATTTGATAATTGCCGAAATTTTTGACAATAAAAAATTTCCTAATATAAAATAAAACTCTCGACGTTATAAATTTAGCTTGATTTACATACCACTATAATTGGTATTAAAAGACATCCAAATATTAAAAATGAATTAGAAATTGTATCTCCTTTGAACTTGAAAGAAATTTTTGGATCATTACAATAAAACCCAATATACTGTCGCGGAACTGCTCTGAATTCCAATACTCCTAGAAGTACGATAACTGAAATACATAATGATATTATAATTAAAAATTAGAAATGACAATAAAAATAAAAAATTTTAAAGTTTAACAATATGAGAAAATTCCATAGAAAAAATTTTAATAAACAATTTATAATTCTTCGAAATATATTTTTTATGTAGTAAATATATATTTACGAATAATGCGCGAAAGAAAAGTGATGATAAACTGGATAATTTTATTTAAATTTTAAATATAATATAATATAATATAATATAATAATATAAATATAAATTAAAATAGATATAAAGGTTTAAATACATATTTTTTTATTAATCATTATTAAAAATATATTTTTATATCATAAATAATATCATAAATAAACAATACACAATTTGTTAAAATAATTTAATCATTATTTACATAATATACGTAATTTACATGATTAATTACATAATATACATAATAAACAAATATACATAATAAACAAATGTCAAATAATCAAATGAAATTATTTATTTATTCATTGACAATTCTAATTTTAAAATGCTTAATGTTTTTATTTTTTACAATTCAAATTTATGCATGTTAAATAACATTAATATTTATAATTTCGATGTTTTTTTTAATTACAAAAAAATATAAATTTTAATCAATATCTAATATTAGAAACATTACATAATAGAAGAATATAGAGATAATAGAAGAATAATATACAAGAATATAACAGATAAAAATAAATATTACTAATATAATATAAAATGCAATATATTTTAATTTATTTCGATTATATTTCAATTTTTTTTATTTTTATCAATTGAAAAATTATTTATATTATTACAGCATCCATATCATTAGTAATCTCTAATTTAAAAAAATTATGAAAATTATACAAATCCACAAATATTTTTAATAATCTTTAAACAAAAAAAAAGAAAGAAAGAATAATATAATAATTTTTTATATATATTTAATTGTACATATAAATTTAAAAAATATAACATAGAAAATATAATAAAAAAATTTTGTTAATATTATAATTGTAATTTATTCATATTTAAAAAAAATTTTATTATAAAATTCTAAATATTTCAATTTCAACAAAATTTTAATAAAATAATATTCTAATAAAATAAATTTTAAAATATAATTTTCAATTATGTAATTTTTTTCTTTAATAAAAATCTTTTCAGATGAATTTTTTAAATATATTTGGATAAATGTATTATACATTTTCGTGATTTCTAATTTTTACAATATAGATACGAAGAAATTTTAAATCATTGCCAAATTAAAAGAGAAAATCATTAATTAGAAATTCAAAAAATTATAAAATTTTGGGAATATTTCATACTTATAATATATATATATATTTATAATATTTTAATACATATTACGTAATTTCTTTTTACAGTTCAAATTCTTTTTTTAATTTAATTTATTATTTGATAAAAAATTTTTCAATTATTTATATAATTAGAAATAATAGCATTATTTCGTATATATAGATCAACATTGTTTTAAAAAATATTATATATAAATAATTAAAAAATGTTATATAATATTATTATTAAAGTTTCATAATTTTTTAAATTTCCTACGGATTTGAAAATCTTTCTCATAAGTTTTTAAATATATAGCTATCTAGAAAAATACATGTATCATGATATGTTTTGTTTTAGTTTCGTTTGATACTTACTGAGACAATATAAATTTCGTTTAATTAGCAGCATTCGTTTAAAATTTCTCCATCGTGAAGCTATCTTTCTCTCACGTTTATTCTTGTCCATGTTATGCAAATTTAGTACGTAATTATAAAGAATTAGCATTAAATTTAATAAAAATAAAAATAAAAAAAAAGAAAAATAAGAATAATAGAGAAAGAAAAAATAAATGAATAAAGAAAGGAAAGGGGAGGAATAAAGAAAAATAGAAGGAAGAGAAATAAGGAAGGATAATAATAGAAAGGGGGAGAAAATAGAGAGAAAGAAGAAGAGGAATCCTCTCACTTCGAATACCGGTAGATTCAATGTCACACACGGTACTGTGCCCTTGTTACGTGAAGCAATACACTAAGTATACATTCAACTGAAACGCATGCGTATAACTGACGATATTGTATCACTTCTCACGATGATCAAGCAATTGTTCTCTCAATATAAAAGTTTAGATCGCAATATAATTGATATTTAAATTTTTTTGAATTTTCTTCTTAAATTTAATTGATATTTACATATAAAAAAAGAAATGAATACTTTCTTGATAAATTATCAGACAATATTAATATATTATCAATATACTATATAATTTAATTATTATAAAAAGAAATTGATAAATAAATTCAGAATTGATAAATAGATGAGATAAAAAGAGATACAAACACGTGTGACCGTGTACGATAACAGTATATCAATTTTTTAATAGATTATTATAGCATTAATTTTAAAAACCAATTTTTAATATGCATTACACAACTGGTATGCGTAAATCGTTACGATGATCAATGAATCTGTTTCATCATCAGATTAATCAGCAATTAATTAATTGTTCTATATTATGAAAACATTATTACATAAATATTTCAATAAATATTGAAATAATTCGGTACATTTTAAGAGAATTTAAAAAAAAAAATTTAAAAATTAATACGTAAACGAAGGAGCAACGAAATCTTTCTTTCCTTCATTCCAGAGAAATTTAATCTTATTTAACCATCCTACATTCCTGCAATTCAAGGATAGATTGAATTATTTATTTTTTTTAGATAAAGATGCAGAGGGAGAGTTCTGTCTACGCATTAAAGTCACGTATTTATGTGAAGTTTTCTTTAAAATCCTTGAGGAGGTATTTTTTTCGATAAGTTTAGAAGAACTTTTACATCTGGAAAACTAAAACCGATCATCCGATATATCTATAAGACAAAATTGTTTAAAATGATATCTTTGACTACATATTTCAAAATCATTGAAGTCAATTAATCTCATTGATCGATCAGTTCACTAAAAAAATTTTATGTATTTTTTTAATAATAACGCGATTCATTTTATTGCAACACAGTTCATTAACATTTCACCGCATGTGTGTATATATGTATTAAGTTATTTAATGCGACACGCCCGGAAAAATTCTAAGCAGACAGTCGACTCATATAGTATTATATTACATGGTTCGTGGTTTTCTTTCCAGCCAACTCTCATTGCATGCATGATTCGTTTCTAGCGCGCGTATAATCGGATAATGTATTATATTTAAATATATTAAATATAATGTTGATATATAAACAATTTATTCTTATTAAAATATTTTCTAAAATTGTATAGTTAATAATGAATTTTAAAATATATTCATTTAACGCTCCAATCTATACTTTATAATTAAATGTAAGAATAAGAGAAAAGAAAAAAAAGAAAATAATTCAAACCTGATAAAGCGAGAAACACATCGAAAACTAATATCCAACGCGTAGTGTTTTTACAGATACTCATGATCTTTTCAGAGACAGTTCGGGTTGTTATTCCGTTTGAATTATCCAAAATATCTTCTAACGTTCCTGTACTGCAACGAGTCAACTGCTCCGTTGATCTCTGGAAAAATATAAAGACAATGATATTTTTTGATAATTATAAATTATATTTGATTCATTAATATATTTAATTGCATATAAAATAATATATAATTTTAAAATTTATATATTTTCGAAATAAATAAATTACATTTTTCTTCAATAAAACGATTATAGAACGATATTAAAGAGATAATCGAAAAATACGCTATATGGACAAAAAGTTCGTATAATTTTTCATTCTCTGATATTGATAATATTGTAACAATTTTTTCTATTGAATCGTATTTTGTATCATCAATTTAAATTTCACAATTCATATAGAAATAATTAAATCTCATTGAGATATAATATATTATAATATATTATACTATAGTATGATATTATTCATTATTTTTTAATGTTTATTTTATTATTATTTTTGATTTTTTAATTATTATTATTTCAATGATCTTTAAAACATTTTTATATGTGATTTTAAAAATTAAACTTTAAAAAGATATAATTATATATTTTTATATCAAATTAGAATTGTTTTTATTTGAATTTAAAAATTAAAATAAATATTCAATATAAAATGCGAATAATGTTATAAATAAATAAATAAAAACCGATAATTTAATCTCAGAAATTAATAATTTTTCAATAGTTATAATTTTTATTTAAAATTTTTTTTTATTAATAAGATTATTTTTAAAAAATAATATAAAGTTTATTCAATAACAAAGTAATGAATTCTATGAAAATATGAAAACAATTAACAACTGTTATCTTCCAGAACACTATTGAACACTTAATTAAACAGATGATAACAAGATATAATATTTTTGAATTCATATTTCATCAATGTTACATACAATATACATGATACATAAAAATAAAGTTGAATTATTAAATTTACATTAATTTAATTACGAATTATTAATTACATTTAAATACTAATTTACATTTTTAATAATTTCAGCCACATTTTTAATAACTTTTATAATAATAAACATTAATTGGAATACAAATTATATTGATTATTATTCGAATTAAAAAAACTTATTTGAATAATATCTAAAAATATAAGAAATATTTATATTTAATGTTAAAATAAAGGAAATAAAATAGGAAATAATAAAAAAAAATGTTGTATTTTAATAGGAATGAGTACAGTTATATCTAGGAATATATACTATATTATACATGAGAAAATATTGGATGACCTCGTTTATAAACGAATCTCGATTTTTGCATATATTTTCGATTAAGTTTTTGTATCTAATTTTTAAAATTATTTTAAAATCTTATTTTACAATATTATAAACAAAATTTTTAAAAAGAAACAAAGATATTTCAGTGAATTTATTTCTTGAAAGAGTATATATATATAAGAATATATATATATGATTTAATCCTACAGAAACGGGATACATATGTCATATGTAGAGAGGCTCGTTTTTAAGAGAATCATAATATCCAAAATATCTAAAAGTATTTGGTTATATTTAATATATAATTTAATATATATATAATTTTGGTTATATTTAATAATAATATTAAAACACTATTGATAGAAATAAAAGTTTTAGAAATATTAAATATTCTATTAAAATATAAGGAAAATATAAGAAATCTTAAAAGATTTAAAATCTTTTCATCATAAATTTAAAAAACATTGTTTATATTTAAATTTTATTCTATACAAAATTTTTAAAATTATTCAAAATTATTAATTGGAGAAAATTTTTAATTAAATTTTGCAAAAGCAAAAAAATAAGAACATAAAGGGTTATTATTAATTAGGTCGAGGCTTCAAAAATGTCGATTAATGGAACTTGATTGAAAAACATGATAGCACATCCGCATTTTCAAAGGGGAACATAAGCATTTTTTAACCTAACTACTATTAAATTAATTAAGGGGAAAAGTGAAACTTAGCAAGCAGGGAAATATAGTTCATGATGTACTATTCAATATATTCGAGATAATTTGATCTTTATTAATATTTAAAATTTATCTTTTAAAATTTAATATATTTAAAAACTATACATTCAATAATATAAACATATAAAATATATGATGTTATCTTTTTTATATTTTTTCTAATCATATATTCATTTTTTATCTTCTTTCATTTTAATGAAAATGAAAGAAAAAAGAGTAAATAGAAATTTTATATAAGTACATGACAGCACGATCTAAGTTATTAGATTCTAACTTACAAACCTTTATTTTTGAGACAATATTCTGTTCCTATGTGAAGCACCTTCAGTTGCTCACGAAAATATTCAAACACTGACACATAATCAATCTTCGCGCTTTGTATATCCAATATTCATCATAATAATTGTATCAGTAATAGAAAGAAATAAATAGATAAAAGTGAATGATAAAAATTTTATCAATAACGTTATCAATGTATACGATATACATTGGTTATTAAAAATGACAAATGACAAATATCTCAAGTAAAAAATCGATTAAAATCGAAAAATAATCGATTAAATATAATATTCCAATAATATTATAAATTATTCAAATTAAGAAAAGAGAAAATACTACAATTATATTTTATTATCTATTACATTTTATGAAAAAACAAGAAGTGATTACATACATAAAGAAATAAATAAAACCATGATATTGTTTATTATACATTATAATATTGTTTATTATACATTATAATATATATATAATAATACGATCTTTTTAAATAAGTCAAAAAAGATTTTTTTATTTTCAATTTGAAAGAAAAAAATGTTTAAAAATAATAATTTATAATAAAATATATTGTTTTCTCCCCTTCTTTTTTGAACACATATAAAATATATTTTATTAAAATTATGGTTTCATAAATTACAAAATAAATGTCTGACCTCATAGGTTGAGAAAGAAGAAGACGAGACGGATTCGTCATCGTTCAATTTTGATTTAACGAAACATTGATGATAAATTTTAAATGATAATAATTTTTAATCTTTATTATTTTCAAATGATTAACTATATTTTAATATCTACTGAATATTGAAATTATAAAAAACTTTAGAATGTTAAACACTACAAATATACAATAACACTATTTTTCAAGGAAAATTCAAACAATTTGTTATTTTATATGAATTAAAAATAGAAGATAAACCGATAAAAAATTTATTAAAATCAAAAATTGTTTTTATATACATATATATATATATATCTGAAACTAACGACACATTTTATTAAAAAATATGAAAGAACGGTTCAACTCGAAGCAACGGTGAAACACAACTGGCGTATACCTCGTCTTCAATCAACGACTTCCCTTGCAATTAAATGTTCTACCCACCCTCTTGTCCCCTCCATGGACCAACCAATGAAAGGATTCGACACGTGTGGTGCGGTTTTCATATGTGCTACAAACGTTTTAATATCATCATCAAGACGAATGATAAGATATCCAAAATTAAACGAAGTTATGTAATTTTATTTAAAATATTTGACATATCCATTAAAAAATAATATTTGATCGGTTGAAACTTTTTTGAATTTAATTTCATCATATTCAAATATTATAATATATTATAATTCTCTTCAAATATTATAATATATTATAATTCTCTTCATCGAAATATATGATAAAAAGAAAAAAGTTAAAATTACCATTCGTATATATGAATCTTGTTGTTAATATGTTTAGCATTTCGTGATATTTATAATACTCATCATTAAGAATATATTGTATAAACTATATTATATAAAAAAAACAAAATTTGAATTACTAATTAATTAATTTAATTTTCTTTTTATTTGTTTCGAATTATTAGGATTCGATTTCTGCACTACAACATAATATTATTTTTTTAATTTTTTATACGATATGACAAAATGATAACATTAGTAGTAGATAACATATAATATAATATATAAAAAATATATATAATATATATAATATATAATATATAATATACTATATATATAATATATATAATAATTTCTATATAATATATATATATATATATTATATATATAATTTAGAAGTTAATGGTTAACTTACAATAATGTATAAAAAAAATGTCAATTAAAATAAAGTAATTAAAGTAATTAATAATTTTTAATTAAAATATAAAAAAATAAAAAATAATAGCATTTTATAAAAAAAATTAATAAAAATTTATTCATTTTTAATATATATATTAAATTCAAATAAATAATATATAATTCATATATATTAGATATATAATTCAAATAAATTTAAAAATTTTTTTACTTATTATTCCATATCTGTAGTCTTCATGTGCATAGACCAGCTATATTTGATATAGAATGTAAAAATATAATAAATAATAATTTTACATTATAATTACAAATGAAGAATTGCAAATTATAATTTTTAAAATAATATTAAATATGAATCAATATGATTAATAAAAAATTTTTTTTACTAAAATTTGATTAACACATGAGTGACATATGTACATATATGTATCTAGAAACATAAGTTCATTCTTAAGCTATTTAACTTAATGTTTAATATGGAATGCGGATATTTAAGATAAAGTTTATAGATTTATAGGTTACAGATACTTACCATAAATAGAAATCAATCGACAATAATCCTAGAAAATGAATCACATAGTATATCTATAAGAAATTGAGTCATATTGAGTCTGTACAATATACCAATTTTGGGAGAATTTCTATGAAAAATTCTCAGAAAAATATTCAATACCTGTCTTGTTTTTTTTTTATTTTGTATATTGTCTTTTTAAATAGAAATGATTTAATATCTCAAAAAATATCTTATAAAAGAAAACAAAAAAAAGTTTTAGACGTTTTAGACGAAAATTAGGATATATATTTAGACGAAAAATAGGATATATAAGATAGGATATATAAGAAAATAAATTATACTAATAATGATGATCTAGAAAACTTCTAAAGAAATGATAATTAAAATTTTAAATATAATAACAATCTATATATTTTTTATTGTTTATTCTGTTATCGTTTTTTTATATATGAAGATCTATATCTATCAAATATTTCGAATCTACTCTTTTTCATCATATTATCATAACTTACCTATCTTCGAACAACAGTACTAATTAATTTAATAATTTCATTAAATATGATAAAAGTCTTTTTTCTCTCTTGTAGAAAACTATGTATATATCTTTCTTATTTTAAATAGCTTTTAATTAATTTTCTTGAAATATTTTTTTGAAAATATTTATTTATTATAAACAAAGTACATACATTTTATTTATTTGCAAAATTTTATAGATATTTAAATGTTATAGATATATAGCAAATTTCACGTATAAATTTCTTTTTCGTCTGATATTAGTAAAATTTAAAATATAATGATTTAAACAATATTTATTTTTTTATTATTAAACTCAATATTCGTAATACGAAATATATATTCTAATATATAAAAATAAAATCTAATAATATAAAATATTAGAAAAATATAAATCTGATATAATCATGATGTAGTTTTTAAAGATTTTTCTAAAAAAAATTAAAATATTAATCATTTTTATTATTTATTTATTAATTGAAATTAATAATATAATTAATAATAAAAGTAATATAATGCATTGCAATTTCTTGTCAATGATAAAATAATAATAATAAGATTATTTAATAGAATATTAAATATTATTAGAATATTTTATAAGTATGTATTATCTATATTAAAGTAATTAATACAATAAACATAACAAAAATTTTTCATTTATTGAAATGTAAAAACAATTTAATAATATTTATAATATTTTAAAATATATTTTATTTATAATTTATAATTATAAAATTTATGAAAAATTTAATTTAATATTAATTTAATTTATTACGAATTTTTTATTGATTCCTTTCAATTTTATCTCTTTTTTTCAATTCTTATCTTATTTTTAATTCTAATGAATTTTTATGAATTTTTTATATTAATTTTTAATTAACGCGTTTTAATATTTTAATAATTTTTAATCAAAAATATGTTTAATTCTATTATTTTGTCGATGTTTTACAAGAGAAATTGATGTTTTACAAAAATAATTGTATAATTAGAATTGAATCAATTAGAATGAAAAAAAAATATTTCAAGTAATTTAATTCAACAATATTATTTATTTCGAACCCATTTTTTCATTCTCAATAGTTTTGTTCCAAATTTGTTGCATCGTACTAATCTATTTAAATTGAAAATAACTTATAATATATTTTTTTAGTTTTACATATTATTTTTACATATAAAAATTTTCATAAATATAAAATAAATCTTTTTACATGAGTAAAAATTTTTACTTTTAAATTATCCTCTATTATTGCTTAACATAATTATGTAAAAATATTTTTTACATATATTATATATGTAAAAAAACGAAATATTTTTCTATATACGCAATATATTTTATTTTCTATATACGAAATATTTTTCTATATACGCAATAATACAATATTGAAATATTCAATATATATTTAAAAAATATATATATATATAGCAACAGTTAAAAAACAAATCAATTTAAATCTTAATTAATTTTAGACATTGTTAAATTCTAACCTGCATTGTCCACGTGTAGAAATTATTTCTTCCAGTGATGAATAGTTTAAAAAAATGTTAATTATAAAACATTACAAATTAACTATATATTTCTGATATTAAAAATCAACATTAATCGTAATAATATAAAAAAAAAAAATAACTAATGTAAAATATAATTGACACTCTCAAAACTGTCTCATTGACAGTTCACTGACAAACACTGCTTTAAAATAGCGTCATTGATGATTCAACCACAAAGTTTGGAATAATAGAAAGGATAAATTATTTAAGAGATTTATTTTATATTTATTCTACTCTTAAATACTGTTATAATGTAAATGAGTAAAATTTTAAAAAAATATTAATTTTTCAGTACTCTTATTTTAAATATTATAAATTTAAAAGACATATTTCATAAACAAATAAAAAAATAAAGATAAAAATATTTATTAATGATAATATTTATATATTTTTTAATAATATTTATATATATATTTTAAATAATATTTAAATAGCATAATACATAATATTGATATATAAATATATTTTCATAATATCGATATATAACATATTATAATATTTATATATATAGTTTACATATACTATATACGCACTTATATGAAAGTAAGTTTTTGAAATTTAAAATAATGAAAGTAATGAAATTATATAAATTTCGTTTTTAAATTTCAAGAATTAAAAATATTTACATAAATATTTTAGATTGTCTCGTAATTTCTTAACTAGTTAAATCAAAAATATTTACTTATGATTCATGATATAAAAACTATTACGAATTGTATTTAAACAATACAGTTACCGGCATAGTCAAACTTTAACCTTGTTTGATATATCTGATGATAAAGTGATATTATTTAATTAAATTGTGAAAAGAAAGTATAAGAATATAGTAGATTAATTTTATATTACAATATTATATAATTAATAAGATTTTTCTTGCTATATAAAATTAATTAAAAATTTTTTTTAAAAATTAATGTGGGTATTTTTTATTCATTTTATTTTTATATTCAAAACTAAGTTATTTTAATTTATCATCATTTTTATATTCTTTTATCTCTTTTTTCTTTATTTTAAATTTCGTTTTAATTCAAATCAATTTATAATGAATATAAAAAAACTATAGTAATATTTCTTTACAGAAATTTTAAAATATAAAAAATTCTCTAAAAATTATTTTATAAAAATTGCAAACTATATATAACAAATTTATAAATAATTATTTATATATTTTTATTTATAATTATATTTTTTAATTTATAGGTTATTTTTATAATGAATCTCTATGCTGAAATTCAAAAAGTAACACAAATACCTCAAACAGATGAAAATATTGTATTCATACGTCGGAAAGATTCTTATGAACAAAATCTAAAATTAAAGAAGATCAAAATTCCACAAAATGTAAATGTTAGTAATTATATTCTTTTAATATATTCAAAATTAAATTTATTTTTTTTTATATATTTTATAATATATTCTAATACTATGTTAATTATATTTTTTTAATGAAAAAAATATAATATTTGCAATTATATAGCTTAAATAACAATTATATATTAAATAATAATTAAAATAAATTCTTAATAATTCTTCATTAAAATATAAAGTAATTATTCATTAAATATATAAATGAAAAAATATTTAATTATCTTGGATATTATCATTTACAGTTATATGATTTTAATGATACTAATGATAGCAGTGGTGAAATGTATAACACTTTACCTTCTAAGTATTTATTACATGAAAATGAAATTGCATCCAGTATTAAAGAAGTAAATATAATTTTTAAATTTAGAAACTATGATAAATATATAGGATATGCAAACAGATTTTAATTTATAGGCTAATTATGGTATTAATTATTCAAATGAATATCTTCAAGATCATTGGAAAATTAGACAAATGGAAGCTAGTTTAAATATTAAATCTAAGAATCATGACTGTAAAAATTCAACTACAGAAATTCATAATCAAATTACTATATTAAAAACTGATAATAAAAATGATATTGATAGTAAAGATATTGAGGATAAGGAAAATATTTTAAAAGAATGTGGACTTCACAAAAATGCGGTAATTAGAAGCCTTTTAAAAAGCCATATAATATCATTAAATGATTTACAAATACCAAACAATTGTAAAAATATAAAAATTAAGAATACCAATCTGCAGGTCTGTATAAAGAATCATTCTACATTCTATGTTTTTACTACAAATATTATAATTAATTTATATTTACACACATAATAGAATCAAAATATTTTTTCATCGAATAATTTATTACAAAAAGATACTATGAAATTAGTTCAATGCCCAGAAGATCCAGAAGTATTTGTTCAATCTTTACAAGTTCATGGTCATATAGATGAAAATAAATATAATGATATCGATTTTTGTGTACCACACATAGGTAAAAAACAAGTTGTTACATCACGACAATTTTTTATTAATATGGATGATTCTGATTTTGATTTTATAAAAAAAAATATGGCAGATAAAAAATAAATAAATAATATTAATGTTTAAAAATAATATTTTTTTAACTTTAAAGAAAATAACTTTTATCAGTTTAAAAGTAAATACTTTAATATTTTAAGACTGTTCATTTTATTACATACAAATTTGATATTTTGAATATTGAATAAAATTAAAAAAAATGACATTTTTAATATTGAATAACATTAAATTAAACAAGTTTGTATTATATTATATGGCTATATTTGTAAATTTATTAATTAATATATCAAATAATTTTTTCAAAAACATTTTTTAAACAGTTATTATTACATTTCTTGTTTTTCAAAATATAAATTTTTTTGAATGCATAAAAAAATTAAAATTTTTCGACTAAATGCATAAAAATATTATATCTATGTAATGAGTAATATATTTTTTATATATATTTTAAAAATAAATATATATAATCATATCAATTTTTGATTATATAATTTTATATAAGTATATATATTTTTAAAAAAATTACATTTGAATAATATATTTTTATATATTATATTATATTATTTGGCCAAAGTTGATTGATTAAAAAGTTTTATTTTTTTATCTTATCAAAATTCTTCTATTAATTTGTTTCTATGATATAGTATTTATTGTTATTTATGATTATTTTTTAAATTATGTAACTATTTATTCCATTGCAGAATTTTTATTTTTTTTTGTAGAATTTTTTCTGTTATTAAAATATGTTTTCAATATTTCTATAATTAATTCTTTGTATTAAATTTTTTCCCTCATAAAAATTGTTCAAATATTTGAACAAAATTTATTCAAAAAAGTGTATTATAAATTTATTTAAAATTTATGTAATATTTAAAATGCTTTATTTCATATAAAACATATTTAAATAATTTTTGTAATAGATTAAATAATGTAACAATTAATAATATAATGTATAATTCACAAATTTATATAATAGTAATTAATTAAATTGATCTACTAAATGAATATCTTATATGAATATCTAAATTACACATTTTAAATTATATATTTCAAAATGTATTTAAATTTAAAGTATTTATAAAATACATGAAATTATGTTAAGGAGAGAATTTTATTTTTTTCTTGTTTTGTTGTATGTACTGTTATATTTATATTTATTTTTTGCACAATAAAATTTATTATATTGTTTTATGAATTTTATTTTTTTTTTTTAATTTTTTCCGACAATCTTGAGAATAATTTCATATATTTTAAATTTCATTTAAATATAGTTTTTTTTATAAATAAATGTAAATAAAAATTATGGATATAAAATATAGATAAAAATAAAACAAAATTTATAAATAATTTTTTTAATATTCATTTAATATTTTATTTACAAATATATCTCTAAATATACATCTTTATATAAAAATATACAAAAAAAGATAAATATCATATTTTATCATAAATAAATTAATTTAATATTGCTGTTTTGCATAACGTATACATTTTTTTGAACAAAAATAACAATCAAATGGTAATACAGTAGTATCTGATGATTTTATAATATTTGCTATTGTATTTAAATTAAATTTCACAAATTTTCTTATGTAATAATTAAAACATGGATTACCACAGACACAATATTTTGCCTCATCTAAATATTTTACCAATGTGAATGGAATTATACTTGCATCATACCAACATCTATATAAAGGAAATCAAATTTTTTAAAAATTTATTTAAAAATTTAAACATAAATATATATTTTTCTGTTGAATTTTCATTATTTTTCTAAATAAAAATTAATAATAATTTTAAATAACTGTACAAATTAAAAAAACATTAAAAATTCATACAAACCTTGTTTTCAGAAATGACTTGGCTGCATATTCAGTTAAACTTGGTACATTCATTGTACATATAGAATATGAATCTGTAGATAGAAATAGATTGCTTGATACATCTAATGAAATGAGATGTAAATTTCTCATACTTCCAGGTATGCAATGTAAATTATTTTTCGATATATCCAAATATTTTAAATTATGCAACTTTCCAAGATTTTGAGGTAAATATGATAACATATTTTGATTGGCTTTTAAATTTACAAGACTATCAAGTTTCCCAATTTCATGTGGTAATTTTTGTAATAAATTGTTACTTATATCTAATAATTTTAGATTAGATCTAATAGCAATTTGATCTAACCATAACCATTTTAAAGCTCGATCTAATCGATTTTGTGATAAAATAAGTTCTTGTAGGTGTTGTAAAGTGCCTAATTCTTTTGGCAAAGATGAAATCTGATTATTTGACAAATTTAAAATTCTTAAACTCTGAAGTTTTAAAATTTGTCTGTCAAATGATTTTCTATTTAACCCTATTAAATATAATTCTTCAGTTGTTCTTGGAAAACCTTCTAAAGTTGGATATTCAGAAGATTTATTAATTGCTACTTTAACTTTTGGAACAAAAGTCATACATTTTGGATTCAAATTTGAAATAGTAAGAATTGAAGGATTAATTTTTTTAGTTATTCCAAGTTTTAAAGTATGAATGAAACTTTTTAACTGAATTGTATCAGATTGAATAATCAAATCATGAGGTGGTTCAATAAAGCGAATTGTAGCTTTTCCTTCATCAATGAATTTTGTAAATATTTTATCAATATTATTATCAATCTGAAAAAAAAATTTTTAATTATATTTTTAATTATAAATTTTTAAATATTTAAATTAGAAAAATATATTTTAAATAACAATATTGCTATTTACATATATATTTAAATATGATTAATAAAATATATTTATAAATATATATATATATATATATATAAACAATTATTTACCTTATATTTAGTACCCTGTTTATTTTGTAATGTTTGCCAAAGTATATAAATCTCTGTATTTTTTACTGTTTGCTTTCCAATTGCTAGAATGGAACGTTGTGATTTTCTTCTTACTACATTTGTTGTAGATAATCTGTTATTTATTTCTACGTTACAATGAAGTTTCATTTTGAATAAATTGTAAAGAAAATAAAAAGAACACCTTATTACTTCAATAAATATACGATATTCATAATATTTCTATATTAACATATTTTTATTAATAATTACATGACACATATTTTAATCAATTTATTATTTATTACGATTTGATTAATTTTTATTAATTATAGATTTGATTATTAATTACAATCACTTTATAATATAGTGTTTTTTTAATTATTTTTTAAATTATAAGAAAATAAAGAAATTGTTTTTTCGCGCGCAGAACAAGAAACAACTGATTCAGATATATTTCTTACCAACTTAACCTATTAATGCTAATATATCAACTATTTCCATATTATTTCCATATAAATTTCAATTTCTTTAAAAACAAACAAATAGCAAATTTATTTATATTATTATATTTGATTAAATTTTAAAAAACTTTAAGCTTTAAATAAGAGCACTAAAATTTTTAATTAATTTTATATACATTTTTAGAATTTGACATTCAGAATTTGAAAATTCAGTAATTTAAAAATTATTTGCATTCAAAGTTATGAATTTTTAGGGATTTTTATAAATTAATATGATGACGCCATGTTGGACTTTTATCCAATCTTGATAATATAAAATATCAAATTTAAATTATTTTTCGAATAATTTAGATCAATTCAAACTTCAAATCGCATATTGGCATAATTGAGAATCTCAAAATGATTGAAAAAAAAAAATATTTGTAATAAATTATCAAATAGTAATCATAATATGATTATTCATATATTTATAATAATTATTTATTTATAATTAACTGAATAACTAACTATAATTAACTTATAATTGATAAATTAATAATTAACTATTACATAATTATTATTATTACATAATATTATTAATTACATAATTAATTGAAATAAATTGATAATATAATAAATTGAATTTTACGCGTATTTTTATTTTTATTATAAATTTATTATAAATTTATTATAAATTGAATAAAAATTCAATATGGCATCATATAACTCAAAAAAGTCCCTAAAAATACCAAAATTTTGAATGCAAAAACTTTTAAATTATTTAATTCCAATAATTCAAACTGTCATTTGTGGATTCATATTAAAATTAATAAAAAAGAACTAAAAAACTTTAAACTTTGTTTTTATTATTTAATTTTTAAATTTAAATGTAAATAATATACAAAATATATATAATACGTACAAACATATAATATAATATATAATAAACTTTTTAATATAGTGCTCAAAGGCGGGAAAATAAACACATGGAATCGTTAAATCTTTCTTGAAAAGAATAACGAATATAAAAGTTAAATTGTTTACAGTATTTAAATGTGGATTAAAATGTTATATGCAAATTAAGTATGAAAATATATGATTTTAAATAACAAATTTTAATTATATTGTAAATTAAGAAGAAATACTTCGTATAAAGTGTATTTGTGTATAAATAAAGTCTATAAAAATCTGAGATTTATATAAAAAATTAATATTTATAATATTTATAATAGAATATAAAATATATAAAAGAAATCTTATATGTGATAAAAAATATGCAATAAATATTTTTTTTTATATTTGTGTAGATCTAAATTTTGGAAATTATAATGAATTTCTTAAATGGAACATTATATTCTTTTATAGAAACTATAAGGTATATCAAACTATAAGGTATTGTTTTTTATTAAATTAGTTATTATTTGCCAAATCTGTATATTATTTAATAAGACAAGCTTGATTAAAATGTTATATTTTATTTATTTATTAAGTAAATAAAATTTTTGCATATATATATATATATATAAAATATAAATATATAATATAAAATTTTTTTTATATATATTATAACAATTACATGTTTTTTTTTTAGTAATATTTTAGAATAATTCAAACATGATTTAAAATTGTCAATATTATCATAATAAGAGAAATAGTGGAAATATTTCTACATTTCTAAATTTTTTAATTTATATTACAATGAAGTCTAATACATCAAAATTTAATAGACAAACATCTATAATTGATATGTTTTCTAAACAACTTGCTAAAAACAAGCAAATGAACTACGATGCAACTAATAAAGAAGACATACAAAAATTAC